TTTTAGCAGAAAAATTTTATCGGTTGTTGATTTTCCCTCGCGAAGTCCTCCCTTGTATTTTCCTAGATTCTTCTCCACATATATTTCTAATCGTTTTTTAGTTAGTATGGCGAGCACTTTGTATATTCTCTATAACAAGGATCTTTTTCTCTATAGTTTTCGCATTCAGTTCTATCTCGTAAATCGTTTCATAAAGTCTATCCTTCATATTTTAAGTTCTCTGACACAATGTCGCTCTCCCCGGAGATTTTTCATATCTTTTATTACTTTTTTAATTTCTTCTCTTCTTTTCAATTATAATTTTCTTCAGCAGTCACTGCGCCATTTAGCAGCTCTTCGAAATATACTTTCCATCTTTCACATATTTGGTCTTCGTCCACTATCAGGTTTCCTTGCTTATTTTTTACATTCATTGTTCTTTCCTGGTATCCAGTTTTAATGTATTTTACCTCTGTAGAAATTTTTTATTTCGTTTTTCTTGTAATTTTCTTCAATACGCTTTATTATATCATCCATGTACTTTCTTTTACCCGTCCTTAGAATTTTCTTTGTTTGGCATACCGTGTTTGGTCGTCTTGTTTTTGCTATCGCAAACTGTTTAATCTCAAATCTGATCCTTTTTTTTTACTCTGTTTTACATTCGTCATCGAACCAGTGGTTTTTTCTATCCTTTTTGTTCTTTGGATGTTCTTCGACGGTGCTTCCTTTATAGTGTTTGTCATGTTCAAGAACTTTGTTGCATGTTACTCACAGTAGTGCTATCTTAATTGGCGTAGGTTTCATATATATCCTTTTAATAATCCAGCATTATCTCAAATTTTTGCAGTTTTTCAAAATTAATGTTGCGCTTTCTTTTTCCGTTTAAGCTTTTTAATTATTGCATCTCTCATATTAATTCTAACCAAAAAATGATCAGAGTCTACGACATCTCCTCTGCACGTTTTCACATTTGTAAAGAATTGAAGAACTTCTCTTATATTAAGATGTGGTCTATTTGATTCGTTTCATTTGATCTCGTAATTTTCCATGTTCCTTTATACATATTCTTTCTTCTGAAACGCGTACTCATTATTTTCATCCTGTTTTAATTAAAAATGTAATCAATATTTGGTCATTATCATTTTTATTCATATGTTTACTTTCATCCCCTATTATCTTTTTATATATATCTTCTCTTCCAACCTTTGCATTGGCGTCGCCTATAATAATTTTAGAGTATTAAATCAGACTATTAAAAATATCATGGGCTGATAGAATTACAAATAAAGAAGTACTGGAGAGGGTTGCTAAAGAAACAGAACTAATCACCACTATACAAACCAGAAAATTGGAATACCTAGGCTACGTGATGAGGGGTCCAAAATATGAAATTTTGAGACTGGGAAAGATTCAAGGAAGAAGATCTGTTGGCTGAAGGTAGAACTCATCAGAACTCATCACTAGGTGATTGGTATCAATGCAGATCGATTGATTTGTTTAGAGCAGCAAGTTCAAAAATAAAAATAGCCATTATGATTGCCAACCTCCGTAGGGAGACGGCACTCTCAGAAGATGATAATTTTAATATCTTGTCTGGGCATTTCTTCTGACAATGACTCTAATTCTTTATAAAATTCAACTTTCATTTCTCCTTTTTCTTCTGTTGGAGCGTGAATATTTATCAGCTATAACATGTTATCTTTTCTTTTAATTCTAATTCAAATCTTGAATAATATTGTTATTATTATTGTTACTATTATTATTGTTGTATCTGCAGCTTTCATTCCCTCAAAGGGATATTCAATATTTTCAATGGTAATCTATACCTTACTGTTATACATTGTTATTATTGTTGAGTCTAGTGCGAAGTGTTACTTAGTAGGATATATACATTTAGTTTATTACTAACATTTATATGAATATTTATATAATTTATTTTTTATTTATTTTAATGGCCTTGTTAGATAGAATAAGCCTTTGTTTAATTTTTTGTATATTAATTAGGGAGTATTTGTTTGCCAACCCTCCTGATGGCATGTGCCAAGGAGAACAAATGTCACTAAAAGTATTGCATTGTATTTTTTTTTATATTCAGAAATAAAAGGCATTATTGATTGATTCATTGATTGATTGATAATTCTAATTCACACATTCTGACAGATTTTGTTACAAATCGTTTTACCTGCTCCACGTCTTCATGTACCAGAAAATTCACTCCAAAATTACTAGTATCGCCTCCACTTGTATAAACCGTGTATGGACTAATCTTTTCAATGTTGTTTCCAGTCATATGTGTTTCTTGTATTGCTATAATGTGTATTTTATATTTGTTAAGTTCTTTTATCAGGTTAATTAATGCTCCCTCCTCGTACATTATATGTCGCAATATTTGGGTACGTATCTTATTTTTTCTTTCGCTATTTATGTTAAAACTCATTTTTCTGTTCATAGCTAGGGTCCGTCAGCATAATGGGTCTTCTTCTGCTTTTTCCACTACCATATGCCGTTTTTTGGGTCTATATTTTCGATTTTTTCGTTTTAAAGTTCCATTTCCGCTCCATTCTCATTTTATGCCATCCACAGTTAGTTTTTGTATCCCGTTTTTACATTTTTACCTTCAGCTCTTAATTGTTTGCCGTTATTTACAATCTGTCTCATGCGTCTTTCAGTTTCGGTCAGGTTATCGTTGATGAAGATCTTTTCTTCAGTAAGAAATCCGTTTGCTTTTTTTTTCTTTCATTACCTTGTTTTTTTTCCATAGTCCTTCATGTGTACCAGACATATATTGTTTCTTAGGTTCATTACAGATTCTATAAATCTTTTGTATAAAATCTTTTACGTTATTTTTTAAGAGTGTTTTATCTGTTGAGACTATTGGTAGACCCGTAATCACTATGTTATTTCTTTTCATCTGTTTTTCAATTCTTTCTACTGTATTTTCAACCTGAGTTAATTTGTTTTTCGTTTCTTCCAATTTTTGCTTTATGTTTATATTTTCTTTTTTCATCTCTTCTCTATATTCCTTATTTTCTTTGGTGACTTCTTTAAATTCTTCCATCATGTTCTTGAACATACTCATAACGTCGTCCTCATCCTCTGAATCTTCTTCCATTGGTTTTCTTTTGCTTGAGGTTCTGGCAGTTTTTTGCGCTGCAGAAAAGGTAAAGTTGACCATCTATCTTTTCTCTTCGTGTCTTCTGACGCATAATCATCACTGTTAGTGCATCATATCGGTTTCTAAGGATCGCGAAAGGAACTAGATCCGTTTCACTCATCCTAGATCGCTCAACAATTCAGTTCTTATCAGTTTTTCAGTTAGCAGAATTATTTTAACTTTAGCTACGTCGCAAATCGAACGGACAGAGTTCTACTGACTGTTTCGATTTGTAAATAACCTCACTCTTATCACTTTAAACACTAGTTTTTACTGGAAGCGAGTTTTTTTCCGACATTTCTCACTGCGCTATTACGAAACCTTTTTTTTTTATTATTAATTCCCATATATAAACAAACCGTCTATTATTTTTCGCTGCTAATCGCCATATTTGGGGTTATAGTAAGAAAAAAAAACAAATTTACTTTTTATATGCTTAGTATATACGCCTGTCCGCATTACGGAATATACTTTGCGTTATAAGATTTTTAATAGCATTAACTGAGCAATATTTCGAAATTGGATATTTGGCAAAATATGAAATTTCGACAGGGCGAGATTTTGCAAATCATTTGAACAAATATTCAAATCCATTTTTGTAAAAATTTATCTAAGAGCTAAGGGGGACAAAACAAGAATAGCTTCATTTTTCTTCTGCGCGCCCTCATGCTTGGCCCAAATAATGACCAGATAGAGCCATGATTTGTAGTATAAAATGTATTTTAATTAAGAATTACATATTTTGAACAGTACCTCACCAGAACGACGGAGCTGTGGTCACCGGGTTTGCGTTACGACAGCTTCATAACCGGTACTACTGAAAACCTGGTCGATTTTCATCGGATCTAAAAGTTTGATAAATTGAATGAATATCGTTTTACATTGCTCTATATACAGTAGATAATACCCACCTTTAGAAGAATTTAAGGTGGGTATGAATTTTGAATGGTAGGAAGGGATACTAGTAGGCGGGGCCACCAAAACAATATTTCTGTAACGCAGCATTGCCAGGTCATGGAAGTCAGCAAATCGCCTGCCGTTGTTCAAATTATCGTATTTTATGGTACGGATTATTGTACTAACTTATATTCTATTGAACAAACAATTAACAAAGAAGAAAAATAATATATTTAATTTTTTGTAAAAGAAAAAACAAAGACAGTTAAACAAACAAATTATTTAAAAGAAAAAATTCACTATTTAAATTAATATGAACTTAACTTCTTGCAGTTCATTATCAGCTTTTTTATTGTATAAATAGGTTGTAATCATAGTTTTATCCATTATTTCTGACAGTCTAAAATCGACACAGCCCTTTTAAAGATAAACTGATTGTTTCATTCATCATCGATCTTTTGCATTGTTTGTAGGTCTTGAGGATTACAAATTCGGGTCAATTTTGACATTAGTGGTTAAAGACTTTGGCAACTTTAAAACTACTTTTATTAAGGTATATTGCTCATGTCTGGATCTGCAACATCGTTTCTTTTTACTGTCATAAAAGCTGTAATCAAAAAACGCCTACATCTTTCGTAAAAATCCAGTTTTAATTCATCATCATGTTGAAAAAATTTGACGCTAAAATTATCGTATAAAACCATAATAATCGTATACCTGGCAAAGCAGGACGTTATTTTAAACAATATTAAATTCGATCAGAAAAATTCGGGTTTTAATTAGGAGACTATGAGGAAATATAATTTTTCTCTCTCTCTCTATTAAGTGGAAACATAATACTAGTATCTTTCGCTAATTTTTGTAACACTAACAATAAGGTTTTTCCATATCTGTACACATATTAACTATACTGATGTTGTAAAAGAAAGAGAATTTTTTCTTCAATATTGAAGTTCAAGTTTTTTTTCAGATGGTGGTGTCCCTATATGCTATGGAAAGTATGTTGTACCTTACAACAGGACTTACTGATAATTTTAAAGATCAGGATATCGAAGTGGAGTCTTCGATCGTTAAGGTAATTTTATTAACTGCTAATTGATTTCAAGATACATATTTATAGATAATCATGAATATTCTATTCTTACTAAGACTATTTTTTGGGACAGTATCCCTAAAATTCATAATTTATCCCATTTCTAAAGTCCTGCATGTCTTTCGTGTTGAGTTCTGATGTGATTTAATTTGCGACAGGTTTTGGGAGGCACCCCAAACCCCTAGATAGCTCCCTCTGTATCCGGTATATTGTTGCTGCGTCGAGTTTCGAAACATTCGTGAACTCACTGATTGGTTATATTGTACGGTGGAATCCTGGAAAGGCAAACTAATTGGTACTGACCTCCCTTGTTTGTATTACCGAAAATTCAGATTATTGGGAAGACTCTTAAAAGTTTAGAATATTTATTTAGTCTCCAAATCACCCATAAGTAAATTTATAGGTGAACTTTTAGATGCAGTTTATGATGCTCTAAAAGAATTTATTCAGGACATTCTTGCACATCTACATTCTCAGTTTTATCTTTATCAGCCACTGCATTGCTTTTCGATGCACGAACTTCACTGTTGTTCGTATTCCCGCTGTCTTTATTTTTGATCACTTTGTTAAAAGCTATACCATGTTTTTGTTTTAAGTGGGCGTACAAATTGGAGGTATTTTGTGATGTTTTTTTTTTAAATTTCGGAGCAAAAAATGCAGCAATATTGATCTTTATTAAGTTGATTAAATTCAACCAAACATTGCTTTTGGGCGATGCCATTTTTGCAAAGATAGGATTTTAAATGGATATTGTCATTGACCTTGCACTGCTCACGAGTGACTATACGATCTAAAAATTAAATAAATTTGGTCTTCATACGATCATAATTATTTCGAGTCGTGAAGATCTTCGTGAATATTCGTATTTCACGAATGTACTTGTTTACACCGAGTGTGGCTGACGTTCGTGATTCACTATCCATGTCAATAGGCCTTAAGACACAACACCGTCTATTGTCAACTAATATAACTGCCAATCCGTCGCTGTGCAGCTGTGTGTGTGACCTAACCGGTCACAAGATAAAAAGAGTGGGGTGAATAGAGAGGTGGAATTCACTATACCTTACCGTGACATACCTCAAAATTTGGAGTTCAGTTTCTGTGACAGTAAGTTTAGTACTAACATGTATTTATATCGGAATTAATCAGCACAGCGTCTTTCACAATATTCACTGTAATTAACGGCGTTTTACCGTTGTGTCCTTACACTTCTTTAAAAATTGACGTCAAAGCGTTAATACCCTGACACATCACGCTTATTTTTTTATTAATGAGCAATGTTCGTTCTAAGCATTGGTGCAAATTGTCACATTTTAATAATGGTAATAGGTACTCAACAAGCAGTATACTGAGGCAGTACATGTAACAGATGACCGCGATCAGTGGAGAAGTATCATTGCTAAGACTATTCGAGCTGCTGAAGCTCAATGATGAACCACAAGACATCTGCCAATATGTTAATGATTATGATCATGAATAGATACTGTGTTTTAGCTTTGTCTAGTTCATACCTAATGTAAGTTTTTATTCTATAGGTGTTCAGTTCATACAGCACTCTGAAACTAGCAACTTCTGCGCTGGAGCTCTCAGGCATAAATTGTATGTCTAACTCACATTGGCTCCATCCCTTACTCCAAGAAGCACTTCGTTTTAAAACCTTAAATGAACCTGATGATAGTTTAAAAATTATTTTGGCATTGTTATGTCTCCAGCATGCAGGAGTAAGTAGTGTGCTTAATGTGTTATAGTACGTTTCATGAATTTGCCACCATTTTGGATTAGCCGTTTTAATGTATCGATAAAATATTTATTTTTTAGAAAGAACTGAATGATTTAGTGAACAAAATTAGAAATCCACTATTTCATATACATTTTGGGCTACGAAGAGCGTGGACAAATAGAAGAAATAACGAAGATAACCCTAAATTGGATTTGGAATTAGGTGATTATCTTCATCCATCATTGGAAAATAGTTCCAAACAGTTAGAGTGAGTAAATAATTGTATCTTTTGAAGAAATACTAAATGCTATATTTTTCTTACTCTTTTGTTCAGTACCAATAGTCCGGGGAACGAAGGTTTTCACCTGGCAATTTTTTCGGAAAAGATCGATTTATGTACTTAAAAATGTGAGAATAGGTAGTGGATAGTCCAATGATCAAAATCTATATGATGTCGCTTTTCCCATAGTGGTAATTGCAACCCCATCTCGGCGGTGGAATTTTTTTATTATATTTTGACTGCAAAAACTGGTAGAAAAATTAATTCTAAGCAAGAAATATTCTGTACATATTTTTGATAAAATTAATAGTTTTTGATTCATAGTTTTATATCGAAAAAATCAATATTGTTCTGAAGCTATTTTCTTGTGACATCTTAATGCAATTACTATTTTTATTGGGAATAAGCCACAATTTTAGTTTCAAATTAGTTGGAAATAAGTCAAACAAATTTTGATTTTTCATTGGTGAAAAATTCTAATAATATAATTTTTTATATTGACTCATTTATATTGACAATTCAGATATATTATACATTTTTCACATATTACATACACAACATCAATATTAAAATCATTAAATCCTTATACGATAGAGCCAAAATTTCTTGTTCTTTCTTAGAAAGAACAAGAAATTTTGGTTTCTTTCTTAGAGAAGAAACATTTGTTAACATAAGTATATTTTATTAAAAAATAATTATCCTTTATCGTTTATATAATTATAATTATTATATATATATATATATATATATATATATATATATATATATATATAATATATATATATATATATATATATATATATATATAGTTTTTAGAATAAATGAATATCAATAATCTTACATTAAAAATAGAAAATTTGATAAATCTCATGGGAATCGCATGGGAAAATAAACATAGGGTTCAATGGACCGATTCAAGTATAGGCCTAAAAGAAACAGACGGTAAAAAGAGAAAAATCAAAGAAGCGGCTCTAATTATGCTCAATGTGACCAATTGCGTCGCAAATTCCTCGGCACAATGCAGTAGGATCTGGTGACCCATATCAAAAGACGAAGTCAATAAAAGAAAAATATATTTATTAGTAAGTCAGTTACATATCGAAGATACATAATTTATGTTTTTAAATAACATACATATAAAATCAGAGTTTATTGTTTATTGAGAGTAAACTAAATGTAAGACCAAATACTTACCATGTCGGGATAGTATTATGAGGTTTTTTTCCTATTTTTTCCTCATAAATTACTATGGAATCACTAACAGAAGAATTTTACTGCCATCATTGCGTATGATTGTCTTTTTAAAGACAAATCACATGCTATGATTTTTCTGATTGATATTCTCATGTTAAAATTGATTTCATGTAATCTTACTTACTTTGTCGTGTCTTTGTTGGAGAACTACAAATCTTCGAGGGTACATCGATGAGGATAGTTTCTGCATGTAAGATGTTCCATATTCTGTGTTTCTCCACAGTCATAGTTCACATCCATTGAACCTGGGGAAGAGGAAAATTCTCAGGCGGTTTATCCTGCATTGTTCCAAGGAAGCGTTTCCTGGATTTTAGTTTCTTTCGTCGCGTTCGAGCTTTGTTCTACAACCACTCTGCGTATTGAGGGTTCTGCAAAACCCGCTGCCTTATAGAGATTTGAGAATGGCGTTGGTTTCAGGCACACCGTCACTATCCTGCATGTCTCATTTCGCGCAGTATCAACTTGTTTAGTGTGGGCAGATCTGCTCGCACACGCATATTCAGCAGTTGAGACTGCGCCGTTTTTCATAAAACGCCAGGACGTTCACCTCCTTTAATACACGTTAGCTTTCTGAGTATGCTGTGTCTAGTTTTTACTTTCCCTCTTGTTTTTATGCAAAGTTGTCTGTAGATGAGGGACCGGTCCAGAATTACTTCATGATATATAGGTTAGTTTGTGTGTTCTATTCTAATTCTATTTCAACGCAATTTGGAGTTTTCGCTTGGCTTCCCTTTCGCAGACTTATGTTTTAGAGGGATTGGGTCTCAGGGAATTCTGCAGGTAGTACGCTGTCACTGTTTTTAAGGCAGTTTTGAGTTTCTCCTCCACTTCTTCAAAACTAGTTCCTTGAGCACATATTGCAAGATCATCAGCGTAGAGGAAGTGCTTGGTTTCGGTCGGCGTGGTTGGTTTTTACTTTACCCTCCATCATAACGAAAAAACATCTGTTTTTCAGTAAGGAATATACGACCTTAACCAGATGGTGGTCATTAGAGTGTCGTATAATTTGCGGAGCAATGTTTTGTGCCTCTCTGTGTCATATGCTGCTATCAAATCTACGAAAGCAGTCCCTCTTATAAGTTTTTCTTCAAAGCCCTTTTCAATGTGTTCTGTTAGTGCGAGGACTTGGCCAGTGCAAGATTTGCCGGGTCTGAATCCTCCTTGTTGTGGGATGAGGTGCTTGTCGGCATTTTTATTAATGCTAATTACGACATAATTAAATTAGAAGAATTTTTCACCAAGTAACAAAAAAAGCAACATTTGTTTAAAACACTAAAGTAGACATGAAACGACTTCTTTTTTGACGTAACCAAGGATTTATCATTATCATTACGTAACTCACATCAAATTTTATTGTCTTAAGATTTTTTTACATTTTGGAAATGAGGGGCTACTTTTAACCCTTAAAAATGAATTTTCAAAGTGTTGACATATTTAAAACTTACACCTAGAATACCAAAAAATCATGATTCAATCCATGTTAAAGGTTTCACTGTTTACAATTTTTTTGTAAAGTTCACAATAAGGGGTAGTTGAAAAAATAAATTTTTTTAGGGTGGAAATTCTCAGAATGTATATTAAGAATATCAAACTATTATTGCCTAAATAATCCGATCCAAATTTTATCTTGCGTAAGCTCTTTTTATAGATTTCAAAAATTAGGGTTAGTTTTCACCCTTAAAAATAAAATTTTAAAGGGTTGAAATAGTCAACAATTATAGTTAGAGTCTCAGACAATCATTATTTAATTCATCTGAACCAAATTTCACTTTTTTTAAGGTTTTTGATAGATTTTGGACAATAAGGGGTAGTTTTCACCCTTAATAATAAAAAGCGCCCGTCGGCACTATATAGATTTTGAATTAGAAGGTAAGTTGAACAACCAAATTTTTATGCAAATCACCTATTCTAATCACAACCTAATCACAAATTTTTCCTTTTCCGAAAAAATTGCGAGGTTTTGACCTATTTTAAGCTTCGCTTCCTGGAGCAAGAGGTATTATATTGTTATATGTTTTTCTAATTATGTTAACCACTTTGTAGGTATTGTATTAAAAGATTAGAATTTGCTGCAGAAGTCTTGCTTACGAGATACGGTCCAGATGTATTAAATTTCCACATGGACATCAGAAGATTAGCAGATTCAATTATAGATACTTACGCGATAGCAGCTTGTTTAAGTAAGTAGATGATATATTAAAAGTACACTGAGATCTATAACTATTGTAAAACAAGAAATTTAGGAGGGTGACACATGCATGTAACAGAATCTACTTAATTACTGTTAAACTGGGAATAAGCCACAATTAAAGATAAAAATACTATGTAACAAAATTTGTTTAATTTACTGTTTGTATTTTGAGAACGATTTTCGAAGTGGAAATTGAAACTTCAATAAACGTATTTTTATCTTTAATTGTGGCTTAGTCCCAGTTTAATAGTAATTAATTTACAATGCCACAAGAAAATAGTTTCAGAACAATATTAAGAATCTACTTAATTGTACAAGATAGAAATCAAATATATTTACAAAAAAAAATTGTTTAATAATAAGTTGCATAGCCCAATTTGCTTAGTATATTTAGTTTTTTACAGTTAATAGAAGTAAATAATTTATAATCCTCTTTCTATTATTAAGTATGTTTACAGTTTATACTTCACTTCCGTTAACACTTAATCTTGTGGATCTCTAAGAAATTGTATCAGTATTTGTAAAATATTTCCAATACAAGTTCCATTTTTTTAAGACCTAATAATTTGCTGAAAACGTGGTGTAAACTTAGTAAAATATTATTATCTACAGCGCGACAAGACATTGAGACAAGGATATTGACTCATAATTGTAACTTGTTGTGTGCCAATAAGAAAATCAAAATAATATGAGTTCAACATTTAATAGCTCTCCGTACATTTTAATAGGTAATATGCGGTCCTTTGTAGTGAACTAGCTGTAACAGATGTATTCACGATGCGTTTTAGCAAATTAAAATTTGGATACCATAAATTAACTGAATACTTAATTCTAACTAGTCTCTATTAGTGGCGTATACGGCCCTAAATACCACTTTTGCATCAATGTTAAAGTGTCTAAAAGTACATACATAATATAAAGATCACCACGGTTAGTACAATTAAACCTAAAGCTAAGATTAATTATATTACAAGAATTCATATTAAACTCAGCAGGCTTCCTGGTTGAACCGCGTTGATTATCACTACGTGGAGCTTTCGACATCCTCTCTGATGTCTTCTTTGGGGCTTCCGAGGTCTCAGTCTCCCAAGCCTCTAGACACTACTACACTAGTCACTAATCAATGCATTACTGCTGCTGGGAACAGTGGACGGTAATTTATAATGTCAATGGTGATATGGTTTGGGCTAACGTGACGTTACTTGCCAATCGTTACTTGCATGCCAACTCTCATCATCCACCTTTACAAATTAATTCAGTCGTTAATACACTTGTCTCCAGATTAAGACGCCTTTGTAATGATACAAGCAGACCCGCTGAGCTGTATAAAACAAGCCCTCATCCAAAACGGTTACCGTGAAAATCACATCAATAGGGGCATCCACAGACACCAATGTCCCACTCTCAATCTCAACCCAAAAACTCATACCCTCATAATACGAAAGCTATTCTTTCTTACATCAAAGTTGTCACTGACAAAATTGACAACATTCTTAAATCAAGAGGAATAAACACAATATTTACCCCCCCAACAAAAACTTTCATCTTTTGTTCGATCAATCAAAGACAACATTCCAAATGAACAAGACGGAGATTATGAAATTCCTTGTGCAGGTTGCCGTCGACCTTATATAGGCCAAACAAATCGTAGAATCCAAAGTAGGATTTATTTACATTTCATTTTGTTCGCAATTTCGATTCAATTTCAGCTCGCATACAGGTAACAAAATTGATTTTGAAAACTTCAGAACCATAACCCCATCTGCTTCTATAAACCAAGAATTATCCAAGAAGTCATAGAAATTGAAAAGAGGTCAAATTGTCTCAATAAAAAAAATGTCTCCGCCCTCCAATTAAAATCCTGTTGTCAGAAATGTTCGCGCTAACCCCTGCGTCAATCCCCCCGTAAATCATCACGCCAATCCCCACACCAAGCCACAAGCGAACCTCCACACAAACCACATTACCATCGACGGCATAAATGAACCGCCCGGTGTTCCCAGTCGCAGTATAGCATAGATTAGTGATCAGTGTAGTAGTGTCTAGGGGCTCGGAAGACTGAGACGTCGGAAACCCTGAAAAAGAGAGCATATGGAAAATTTTAACAGGAGACTGTTAGAATAATTTGAGGACAGCATTTGCACATAGATATTTTGGTTAAAAATTTTATTTCAAAAATATAATGGTGATATCTGCAGATGCTTACCAGTTTTTATGTATTTGGATAATTTGTATTCAGTTATTAATGACAAAAAACAAGATTTTTAATACTGAAAAAGGGACGTACCAGGGGACTGTGTTTTGAAGTGTTTGAGATTAATGTATTTAACCCTTTTCAGCCCAAATTATTATTTTTTCAATTAATTTTGTTGAAATAAATGTATGTTATAGGAAACGATACAAGAAAAAATAATTATAACTTTTGTAAAAATTTTGCATTCTAGAGTCTTCAAACTCAAAAAAATTGATCCCATTTGGAACCATCTGGTGTTGGTGGGTACCTGAATTATCCACTTATAACACTTGATATAATGGTCTAGTAAAAAATTGACTATAGTAGGAAATACGTTTATTATTGCACTTATACTATTAACAATTTAATTTTGTACATGGAAACTATAAAAACAATTTTTATTATTATTTAAACATAAAAAAACATTGCACTTAGAACATTTTATTCTAGAGTAAGACTTTATGATTTGCACCTTGTGCGATTTTTATCATGCAGTGATCAGTATCATACGCCATCAAATCAAACATCTTGCACTGGTGCAGGATGCATTACTTGTCTCTTATTTGGTGTATTCTCTTGAGAAGGACGTCCTCGTTTTCTCGTGTCGGACTTTCCAGCTTTCAGTAACGCATGTCCAACTTGAGATTTGAATTGGAGAAGGATGATGTGTTACACTTGTTTTTGTTTGCAGTGTCTTCTTTACAACAACCAGGAGTTGACAATACATGTATCAATAAGATTAAATATTATTCTCAAATAGAATCTTTTTGGTTTGATTTTAATTCTATATAGTTCCATAAGCATGTCATGCAAATCCACACCCTCCATCGAAATATTGTATTCTTTGACAATTGCTGATTTTGCAATTCTCGAAAAGAAAGTTTGGTTGTGGTAGTTCTGAACACACAAGCCGTCTGAAATAAAGAAGTATATTGTACTTACTTATTTTATTGACAGAAACAAAATTTACACGACTTCCCAATGATACCATTTGGAGACCTCCACAATGACCCAATGATTCCATTTGGATTCATTGATATTTATAATGTTTAAACAAACAATCTTGTAAATATACGCAAATTATAATGCAAATTATCAAATAAAAACAATATAAGAAGCAAAATAAATTTTTTCGTGCAATTACTGGTTCAATTATTCACCTTAGAATAATTTGAAATATACAGTGAATTGATGATCGTTATTTCACTACGAAGTTTTACATTGCAATGTGACTAACGCTTACTGATAGAATTGTCAAATAAATTAATGCAGCGTCATCTAGTAGGAAGGTGAGGCAACGAAATATCGTTCGCCAAATCGACATAACTAGTTTCCTTTGCGGCTAATGCAGAAAACATTGCTATGTTACCAAATAGGATCATCTGACTGGAAAGGGTTAAATATTCTCATTAAATTACTAAATATGCTGTGACGTGCCAGGAATACTTAATAATATAACGTTAACATTTATTACATAAAATTATCTTAGGACAGGGATTTTCCCTTTAGTGGAGAATTGTTCATATATTTAATATTTCTGACTTATTTTGTTTTTAGGCAGAGCTTCCAGATCTTACTGTATCGGTTTGCAACATGCAGACGTAGAAATGATGCTGGCTACGACGTTTACAAATTCCGCTACAGAAAGAGTAAAGGAAAACGTATTGAAAATATACTCAGGGCCTTATAATACAAACGATGAAAATCACAGGTTGATATCCAAGAAGATGTTTAAGTTTAAGGAATATTTTGTCAAACATCCCCTTACTAGAAATTTTTAGCTGTTATGTAATTTGTTAATAGGTGTCTAATAAAGTTTTTTAAAGTTTAAGTGTTATTTTTTTATGTGGCCAATTTTATAGCTTAACGATTAACAATTATACATTTTGAACAGTTCTAAAACCACGAAGACAAAAAAAAAACAGTTCTATATTTAGTTTACATATAAAAGATATTGACAGAAATGTTCATCATCATCAGTGGTGCTATAGCCCAAATTGAGCCCCGACCTTCCCCAGTTTATTTCGCCAGTCATTTCTATTTACGCCAACCGTTGCCAGTTTGCTGCGCCGATTTTATACTCGTCCTCGTCCACACCATCTCTCCATTTCAGTCTTGGTCTACCTCTACTCCTACATCCTATTGGTGTCACTAATAAGGTTCGTCTGGGTGGGTACTTTTCATTTGCTCTTGACACATGTCCTGTCCATCTAAGCCTACCTATTTTTATGAAAGGTATTACATCTCTACCATTAACTATTTCTTTATACTTTTTGTACAATTCCAAATTATATCACCTTCTTTAAATACAATTCTGCGCCAATCATTCTGCGTAGTATCTTTCTTTCGAAGAAGAACAAATATATGTTTTTATATATTTTACATATGTTTTTGACCCATATGTCAGCACTGTTAGGATGAGTGTTCTATATATTTTTTGGTATTTTGACTTACATTTCTGTTTTTAGCTGCTTATTTAGTCCAAAATAACATTTATTCGGCATCAGTACACTTAATTTTACTTCTTTAGATGTGACATTATCGCTTGTTATGAGACAACCCAGATAGGTAAAGTTATTTACTACCTCAAAATTATAGTGGTCTATGCTAAGCTTTTGATCAGCGTTTCTAGCTCTATCCCTCTCTATTAAAGATTTTTCCCCTATTGTGTAATTCGGCATCTATTACTAGTCGTTTCTAATCCTATATTAAAGACGCCAGCGCATCTCCCTGCCGTAAACCTGCATAGGTATTAAAATCTTGTGACTGATCGCCTCGTATTTGCACTCTGCAGATCACTTTACGTATACAAGTTGTTTTTACACGTCTTATTAATTTCTGGGGAACGTTAAATTTATTCATGGTTTCATATAATTATCTTACACCGTCAGTGGACACTACCGTACACTAGTACACACAAGTCTACAAAGAGATGAAACGTATCAACGTTAAATTCATCAGTTTTTTTCTAAGATTTAATAATCGCTTTAATATTCACCAACGAGTTCTTCCACCTTCATACTTAAACGGATGCACAGGGTGTTGCCGAATATTTTGTATATCGTGTTCAAAAGAGATAATATATATTTATACCCCTATAATTTTTACATTCCAACAAGTCTCCCTTTTTGTGCAGTAGACATATCACAACAGTGCACCATTCCTCTGGAATTTGTTCTTTTTCCCAGACCTCGACTATTATGCTGTGAATTTGGTGCATAATACTATTATCTAGGTATCCAGAAATGTTGCGGGACCGATATCACCAACAGAAGATAGTTCAAGCAGATAAGTTTTTAAAATTGCGAATCCTTTTTCAACTATGTATTACCTGCTCTTCATATTGCTATTCTTTATCTAGAGCTAGATGCTGATGGGACTATTTCAGACAGGTACTCTATATTTAGCTAAGAATAAGGTAAAGTCTGGCTTGTCAAGGAATCATGAGTACAATGATATTAAACCCCATTGCCTCGTTAGATGTAATCCTATATCTTCCTTTTCTACATATACATGTGAGGAAGATCACCTTAAAAAGTGCTTTTATTGTAACACGATTTCAGTATCTAAAATACTGGGACCTGACGACATCTGTTTAAAGGTTGTTATAACGCAATCTATAAAAATACCTAGGGATATAGCTACAAAATAATATTTATTACTCTTTATATGTGTATAATTCTCACTAAATATCTCACAGCCAAGTGTGACAACACAAAGCAAAATTGCTCAAATTACAAAAACACAGGAAGAAGTAGGAATTGCTAGCGATACTTCTTATGTTAAAAATTATCTAAAAAAACTGCTCAGTAAGGCCAAAATATTGCCTCTAAAATATAAGTTCTGCTTCACCACAAAAATTAATTACATAACTAGAATTCTGGATTCTAAAGTAGATAATTTCTTGTGATATACATAAGATAATCCACAAATACTAGTCTACAAATTCAACACAAGAACAACAAAACAAATCTGTGTAAAGAATTGGCCGGGTGTAGAGGGTCGGGTAGAGGGTGTATAGAAATCGATCATGTTAGCATATGTTTTTTTGTTGAGGGTGTAAAAATCTTCCAAAGACGTGTGTTGGATTCGGAATAAAAGGATGCTTTTAAGGAAGGACTCAGCTAAATACGCGCGGCTTGTCTTTTTTAGACCGTCCTTACATACATGCGCGGCTTCCTTTTCTTCTGTTTCTTCCCTTTAGCGTTTATGTCTGCTGTCACTTTCTTTCTGGGATCTATTTACTTTTAATTGTTCTAGTTATTGCCCCCAGGATTTTTTTGTATTCATTTTCTTCTCTTCCCGATATTTTCATTATGTTATTCGTCCTAACCTGTTCGTGGACCTTTTGCAATGGAACACGCCGTGTTCCGCCGTGTCTTGTTCTTGTGCCTTACCAGGTAGGCTCTGAAACAGCTGTACCCCGTAATAAACTGTATGACGAAGTAGTTAGTCTTCCTATGACCGTGTCCTATCCAGTCTCTCACGTCCGGTATGGATGTTCTTGTCCATTCAGCTCTATGTTCGTCTTCCCACTCTTCTTGTCATTTCACGTTGGTCACACCTTTATCGTCTGCTTTGTCCTTTTCACTCATGCCGTACGTGATTATTCTTTCTGTCATCAGTAGGTGTATTGGTGGCACACCTGCTATTACTTGTATGGCAACTCTTGATGTCGTCGTATATGCGCAAATGACCCTCAGCAGGGCCTTCCTTTGAGCTATATCCAAAATTCTTCAGTAATTTTGTTTATGCATTACCTGCTGCCATACTGGTGTTGCGGATGGAGGAGTGGACCATTTTCATGAGAATTTTGCTTCTACCTGTCCTCGGACAGGTCCTATGTTTGGCATGATTGTTAGCGCCGCTGTTCTTTGATCGGCTAAAGTATTTTACTTGATGGAAGTAAAATACTGTGGGACGACACTATAAAGTTATGGTGACTTTGAGAGTGAGAGAAAGAGAGAGAAATCAAATAAACTAGCAAGATGCCTTAACAAAATTATATGGTGGAACGACAAATTAATATTGAAATGATAAAAAAATGGAATAATCACATAAGTAGAATGGAATAGACCAGCGTTGTCAAGTATCGGCTGAATGCGCCGAAGATGGAGTGATAAACTTCCATAGAAGTGTTAGTTCGTCGATAAACAAACAGGACTGTTTATAAAGTGGAACAGAAAGAAGAACACATTTTACACGATTTTCGTGTAGTTAAAAAGTTATTTATTTTTTTTTTTTAGTTTAAAAATTTTATTAGACTCCTGACAAATAAATCCCCTGTACCTACATATATGTTACAAAAGTAACAAAAATGACAAAGTTATGTTAGATTATGTACTTTATTTCTTTTTAATGTGTTTTAAAGAAATCAAATAAACATGTACAAAAATCGGTTATATTTTTATTTGTGTTAAAGTGTTAAATATCTTCTGTGGGAGTAATTAACCTCCAAAAGAAGAAAGTCTTACTCCACAGTGTAGAAAAAAAAAGAAATTCTATTCTATCGTAATAACTTTTTTTTTTCGATGTTTCGTTATTTTTATTTATAATGTACATATCTAAAAAAATTATGGTTGGTGTTAAAACAACGAGTTTATTTTCAAAGTACTGACTTACAGTTATTTAAAAATTAAGAGAAATAAACAAAATAAATTTTGAGATTTTTATACCTTCCTTTTATGCAACCAAAAACTCAACGCAATAATTTGAAATATTATTTACCAAGTTTAATGTTGTAAACAAAAATGCTTTGTTTTATAATCAAACCTCTGTTGGCTGTCGTTTGGTCTTATCACACTGACCTTGCGAGATCAAATATATGAATATATTATATTTATCATTAGAAATATTCGGTTATCAAAAAGAAGGTACGATATGAATTCCACCATCTCGGGTCGATACTAAATTAAGGTACTAAATATAGGATATTACTTATTTCTAATATATAATTATTTTTACTAAAATCCGATCATGATAAATAGTTTGAATGTTTTATAAATAAAAAACCTTTTTTTTCTGTCAATAAGCATGTATACAAATTAAAACAAAAAAAAACCGAAGGTCCAAAGTTTATCATTATAAATAATAAGAAAACATTAATTTTACTTTTTGATAGGTCACCATGCCTGTTGCATTGATGTTTAACATTAAAAGCTGACATGGAATTATTTTAATCTAAGTTTTTATTGATTCAAATAATTATGGCTGAAAAATATTTTGATACGTAGGTGACTGATAAGAGTTTTAATTATATTTTATTTATTAATATTCCAATAATATGTAACAAAATTGTTTACAGACATAATAATGATGAACATCCAGATGTTCAGGTTGTGGAGCTGAAATATTTAAGAGACCAATATTACGAAAATGAAATTGATGTTGGCTTAGACATGACTTCGATTAGAACGTTGATATTGTTGGGTAAGTTTTTAATATATTTTTATTACATTCAAATAATTGTAATAAAGTTTATTCTTTATATTCTCGAAAACTTCTGGGGCTTTGACAATTAAAAACTTCAACAGTGTAAATGGTCATGAACTTCATAAATTGAATTTACTTACATGTAAGGAGTATCTTGGTCCCATATTTAAGTAATATTGTTATCAACATCGTATTTTGGGATACATTTCTAGATATCCTCCAAGTCTTATAGTTTTCTATGTTTTTGATGACGTTCCAATTTTGTGCTTATCCTGTTTTACTAGATAATTTTTGTAATCAATTAGGTTGATAACTCTACTCGTTACTATTCTCTTGGTCTTAGGTTTGGTCTTTCCATGACTTCGTTTACCCTGTACCTTGACGATCTTTATCATCTGTCACTATTTCTTTCCATTATGCTTCGTTCCAAAATTTTTGCTTTAAACATTTTTCTTCTTTATAGCTTAGTATACCTCCAGTAACATCCTTTTTTTTATTCATTTTTAGTATAATATTATCTTAATGTACAGCCTCTTTTTATAAAATCCATTGGTAGATATAATTCTATTCCTATTTCATTTGTTTATTATCCAGTTCTCTGCTCCATATTGCGAACCATAGTGTTATAAATTCTTATTTGCTGCCACTGAAGTTTCCAGTGATTTTAATTTCCCTATTGTTTTTATTGTTTCTTATTACTCTTATTTTTAATAAGAATCCTGTCAGATTTCTTAGCCCGCTTGAATTTTTGGCCTAGTTTTAATTGCTCAAAGAGATTAATAGTACATTTTAAAAATCTTCTCTAGCCATGGCCGTGCACCTTTGTCCAAAGCCAAAAAGAGAGGATAGGGTTACAAAATTGAAAATGTCAGTCAATTCGAGTACACAAACAAATAAAGGACAAGTATAGCAATGGGCTCATTAAAAATATTCTAAAAGCAAAAAATGTATATAGGGCAGCAAAAATTTAAATATATGACACAGTCATTTGGCTAGTGGTAGTGTATGCATGTGAGACCTAGACTATGAATAAGAAAGATGAAATGAAAATCGAGATCTGAGAAAGGAAGGTACTGAGCAAGATTTTTGGTGATATTAGGACGACGGAGGGAAACCGGCGGAGGTAATGGAGATGTATGGAAAACCCCTTTCTCTTCTTCTTCAGTGCCTTATCCAGTCCGGATGTTGGCGATCATCAAGGCTATCATGGTTTTGTTGATTGCTGTGCGTAACAGCTCAGCAGAGGTCATCCCAAAGCATTGTCGGAGGTTTTCCAACCACGAGATACAACGGCGTCCCGGTCCTCTCCTGCCCAGAAGTCCCCTAATTGTACACAAAGTCAAAGCACAGAGAGTCAAGTGGTTAGGTCACATCACTCGAATGTCAAAGAAACGTGTAAAAAGGTGCTTTTTAGTCCACGTAAAAAGTGGTTAGAAGCAGTTAAAGGTGATTTTAAATGGTATAGGAGTGCATAATTGGAGAGAGAGAGAGAGCAAACGACCGGAAGAAGTGGAAAAATATAACTAAGAAAATAGTAGCCAAGAGTCTCCACGATCGGTACCTGGCGCTGTTATATATTTATATAATTATAAAATCAAAAAAAATAATTAATAATAAGACCAAAAATAGGTTGGTGTAACATTTTAAATAAAAATCTAATTATCACATTTGTTACAATTTGTTATATTTTTTGAATATCCTGCAGATACATATTGATTGCACCGAATACAAAACTTTAGAGATTTCCTGTCTTTACCTCTGACACATAAAAAAATTGCTGCTGTCTAACAATAATGTTAACAAGTAGTTCCTTCCTTAAGTTTAATTCTGACAAACTGGTTAACATGAATTGTTTTACACTGGAATGTAATTGCTTTTCATTTTTTTTATAGCCCTTTTTCTATCCGAATTGTCGAATAAAGGCCTCTCCCATTTCTCGCCATTAATCCCTGTTGTGTGCTAGGCGTTTCCACATGGGTCCTGCGATTCTTTTGATATCGTCGCTCCAGCGCATTTGTGGTCTTCCTTTTGGTCTCTTCGCATCGTACGGTCGCCAGTTTCCGACTTCTTTGTTCCATCTACCATCTTCGAGACGTTCGTTGTGTCCAGCCCATTTCCATTTTAATTTAGCTGCTTGTTTCGCGGCGTCCTTTATTTTTGTTTTGTTCCGGGTTGCTTCGTTCGTTTGCCGATCTATTAGTGAGATACCAAGCATCTGTCGTTCCATGGCTCGCTGAGTTTTTCGGATCTTGTCCATGTTCATTTTTGTGAATGTCCAGGTTTGAGCTCCGTAAGTGAGAACGGGAAGGATACAAGAATCGAACACTTTGGTTCGAAGGTTTTGGGGTATCTTTTTGTCTTTCAGTATGTATGAGAGTTTTCCATATGCGGCCCATCCCATTCTTACTCGTCTGCTTATTTCGGTAGTTTGGTTTTCTTTGTTTACCTTGATATTCTGACCCAGATATATGTATTCTTCTACATGTTCCACTTTTGTTCCTTGGATGGTTATCGTCGGTTGATCATCTTTATTCGACATTAGCTTAGTTTTACTCAGATTCATTTTCAGTCCTTTTTTTATGGATTCCGTATGAAGCTCATCGATCATCGTCTTCAGTTCTTTCCAGCTGTCGGCTATTAGTACTACGTCATCTGCATATCTTAGATGGTTTAAATACTTTCCGTTTATCGATAGTCCCTTTGTTTCCCAATTTAGTGATTTAAAGATGTCTTCAAGTGCGGTAGTAAATAGTTTTGGATATATGGTGTCTCCCTATCTTACTCCTCGGTTGATTTTTGTTGGCCTCGTTTTCATTCCGTTATCCATCGTGACTACCATTTCAGCGTGTTGATATATATTATGTATTAATATCCTATATCTAGAATCTATTCTGCTGTTGACCAGTGCTTCCTCAATAGCCCATAATTCTATGCTGTTAAAAGCTTTCTCGTAGTCTATAAATGCTAAACAGATTGGTAAATTGTATTCGTTAACTTTTTCTATTAGGACCTTTAGTGTGTGAAGATGGTGACATGTACTGAACCCTTTTCTAAATCCGACTTGCTCTACTAGTTGATATACATCGAACTTTGTTGTCAATCTATTTGTTATTATTTTTGTGAATGTTTTATAAAGTTGTGATAGTGGTGATATTGGACGATAATTTTTCAGATCTCTATTGTCCCCTATTTTGTGTATTAATATTGTGCTAGCAGTATTCCACTCCTTTGGTATGTTTCCTTCAAATAGGCATTTATTAAAAAATATTTTTAGATACCTGATGACTTCTTCTTCGCCTTCGTTCAACATTTCTGCCAGAATTCCATCACTACCCGGTGCTTTATTTCTTTTCATTTCTTTAATTGCATTCTCTATTTCTACTTCGCTTATTTCGGGCATTACTTCAGAATTTACGTTTGTTATTTGTCTTTTCAGATTTTGCTTTGAAGAGTCGGGGTGATCGTTTCTTGAGCGGTATGTCATTTTGCTGCTTACAAATTATATTTTTCCTAATTTATTTGTTCGTCCAACTCTAATAAAAACCGTTCTCCCATTTAAACGAATAATTTTCCAATCTTGATTTTTCAAAATCCAAAGTATATATGTAATCTTTTATGAGACATGGTAGATGGTTTTACTAAAGAACGACATAAGTTTGTATCTTGGCATTATAATACACATATTAGCGCTTTAGCAGCGCGCTAGACTCCAAAAATAATAAGCAAACTAATAAATGCTTCCAGTTTTTCTTGCACAATTTTTTGCATTCCCATTGCATCCCCCATTTTGCATTCCCATTTTGTATAGTTTAATTCGGCTTTTCTATTTGTCTCCAATAAAATCAGATTCATAATATCTTGAGATATTATGGTGGAAAATTGAGAACTATATCATGCCAAACCTTTTATTTTGTATATTAATTTTTTTTTTATCTTCGTTGTAAGTGGAACTTTCTCCCACAAACTACCATTTTTAGATGTATATGTTGGATTTTAAGTGTACTTTACTGATGGATTACTGATCTCACCATCACTAACTTGCAACACTTCATCTAACTCATCAACTTCTGTCACTATCACTTGAAGTATCTTCTAGTACCTTTTAGTCACATAAGTGTCTGTTTCTAATATCGCCAATAGTTCTTCATCAGTTGGATCACCTTTCCTGGATTTCGAAACTTGGTGTTTCACTTATTTTTATAGAGCATGTGCTCGACAATTACTATAAACGTAATTAAATACACTAAAACTAAAACTGTACTATGATAGTGAAATAAACACGTAGCGTAACAGCAATGAAATAAATTGATAATCCCCGTCGCTTGAACAATTTGGGTTTATTTGTATCCCGCTTGATTTTCAACATATGTAAAGTATATACCTGTCATTGTTTACTACCTGTTGCAATTAACAAAAAAAAATAAAACTTCCCTGTAACTGAAAGAAAATAAAAAAAAATTGAAAGTATGACCAAAAATGGATGTCTGGGTTCACCGAGCCCGCTCTGGTTTAGGAAGGTTAATAGTATTTAATATATTATTATATTTAACATACATTAATTTTTTAGACAAAACATTAAACCAGATGATGTTATTTCCGCAAGAGCATAATGTAGAGGATAACGATCAAAGTTTGCAACGTCTGTCCCTTGCTCATGAACGACTGCACTCAATGCCTAAAATTTTACTCGAAGAAGTAGCACCAACTGTGAAAATTTTGGATATTAGCCATAATGAATTTGAGTAAGTTCGGCATTTTTGATCAAGGATGTATATAAGTTATACATGTTTGTTTTCGAGACATTTAGTTCTCATTATTTTTCCCCATTATTCTTATCAGACCACCGTTTTTTAAAGCTACTGGTATAAATTGTTGTTTGTTGAACTTACTTATCATATTTGCCAGATCTTTCATTATTAAAGTTGTCATTTTCACTATGGACTGTATTACACCTTACGGTGTTACACCTTACTTCGAATTTTATTTTGTTTATTTATTTTTAGATTATATTTACTCCTGTCTCATTCTTCGTACCAAACTTTCGCTTAGTATAACAGATAAAATCTTCACCTCTAAGTTATTTGTGTTTGTTGGCAAAAATATATACAAATAAATAATAATATACAAATCTTAATTCTCATTTAAAGTTATCAGTATTTTTAAGTATATTATATTAATATCGCTATTAACTAATATATTCTTTTAGAAAATTGGATTTTTTAGATCAGTTTCATGAACTAACAACTTTAATATGTGACCACAATGATATTACGTCTAATCAAATTTTACCGTTTTTGCCAAAACTCGAATTACTATGGATGAATAATTGTAAAGTAAGTATTTTTGTAATTTTTAGTTTCTCTCTTTAATAATGGACTCGTTATTATTTTCCACAAAGGTTACTTTTTATTGATTTAATACATTTTAAAAAAACCTTAAATCATGCCCAGTTTATAGCAAACGTCGAGGTTGCTTATATAGTTAATCGACACGATCATCGCAAACAGGAAGTCTTCGTTATGTGCTTGATAGATTGGACCTTGTCGCAGCTGCATGACGGCGATGGTAGCTTGCTCCATTTGTGTAACATATCTGCACATCGTCTATGTTGAGTTCTGATGCGGTTAAATGTGCACCAGGTCTTACATGGTAAGTCAAATCGATGAGGTGTCTCTGTGATGCAAGGTATGGCTGTATTTGGTTGAGCTGCCGACCATTCATGGATCCATTTGGTGATCATGTTGAACCCTGTGACTGCGGCTGATTGGACAGTTTCTATTGGAGATTTTATGGAGCGCATTTGATTTTTGAATACTTAAGTGCTATGTTTTCTCCACCTTGTTCTATGGTGTTGAAGATTGGACAATGACAGAAGCAACAAAAAAAAAAGAATCCAAGCATTCGAACTCTGGTGTTACCGTAAAATAATCAGAATATCCTACATGAACCATACGACAAATGCGGAAGTCTTGCGGAGGATGAATAAGGAAAGAGAGCTTATGCTTATAATAAAAGAACGGAAAACACAATATTTTGGTCCCATCATAAGAAATCAAAAGTATGAACTGCTCCAACTTATAATCGAAGGCAAAGTCAATAGCACAAGAGGACCAGGAAGAAGACGCAACTCTTGGCTTAAAAACCTACGGCAATGGACGAACATTACCTCCATAGAACTATTCAGGGCTGCTACAAATAAGATGAAATGGGCAAATGTAATCGCCAACGTCCTTAAGGATAAGGCACCATAAGAAGAAGAATTCGACTTTTGGTTGCATCTTCTATATAGTTATGAATCAGCAGCGCCGTGTTGCTAAGGATCTTGTTATATTCTTTGGTAAGTCGATTGAATCGGCGAAGATGTGGTGGTGGAATGTCACTCAGCACTGATAGTCAATGTGTTTCCTCCAGATTTGATTCCTCCAGCGATTATTCTCATGGTATTATTAGCTGGACATCGATCTTTTTAACGTTAGCACTGTTGATCCATATTGGCGCGCTTTATACATATAATACTAATTAAATTTTTTTACTTCTTTTCCGTTTATACCTCCTACATTCCATGTTGCCATTTCTAAAATGTTCTTCTTCTTGTTTCTCATTATGTTGCCTTTAAATGTAGTTTCTTTCTGCCTGTGCTATCATCTTTATATCACTCATATTCTTATTCTGTGCTTTTTCTATTTCCCGTTCAGTCAACATATTTTCTTCCACTAGTTTTTTGAACTAGCTTGCACTGTATTATTTGTAATTTTTTCTATCATATATGTTTTTTTGGTTCCAATTCCATCTTATATATTTTATAATTATGAATCCATAATCTATTTTTGTGGTTTTTTCTATGGGAAGCTATGCTTCCCCTCCTTCATCCGTTCGCCATGGAATTACCATGGCGAAGGCTTTACAGTATTTGGTCAAAAGGAAAAGTTGTCATGCGTTTCGTATTTTGGTAAGATCCTAAATGTTTTTCAGTTTAGAAGCTTTTTTTATTCCACATTTCCAATGCTTCAATTCGGTTCTATGTTAGTACTTCTAGTGCTTATGTTTCTACATCATATATCAGTGAAGGCCAAATATAGCACTCGATCATTCTAAGCTGAAATCTTTATTTCAAAGAAATGTTCACGTTTTTAAACAGTGGCTTGTGTTCTCCACGATCAACTGCCAATGAGATTTCTGGCTTGCTCATCTGCATCATCCTCTCATCGCTTTCTTGGTATTCCAATAGGTCTCGTTTCCTGCATTTTTGCATTTTAACAGTTTTTCTGGAAGCCCGTTTCCTTCCATCCTAATTATATGGCCTGTCCACTGAAGACGCTGTAGCGGACCTACTGAGATAAAGGTGGTTATAATATACATATATATATATATATATATTATATATATATATATATATATATAATATATATATATATATATATATATATATATATATATATTCTCTCTTATAGGGCATAGTATTAGTTTTTCTTTCAAATATGTCCAGTTTACAACAGTAAACAGTAAAAACAGAGTCAACATTTGTAGAGTCAACAGTAAGTTTCAACATTTTATGTATTAACTGTCAATCAATACAATACAATAATTTTAGATGTAGATACCTACTAACCCTATCTTGTGTAAAGAGAGAACTCAAAACAAATTGAATAGTCAGTTGATTGTTAAAATCAGCGCCAATAAAAACACACACACACACACACACACACACACACACACACACACACCACACACACACACACACACACACACACACACACACACACACACACACACACACACACTTACACACTATCGGTCGGGTTAGGGGCTTGTAGATTCGTATCTTAGTTCTTTTATGTTCGTCTCATGATTTAAATATCTGTTTTTTAGCAATATACGGCGTATTAGCTAAGACGCTTCTTTTGCTAAGCTCTGTATCATCAATTTTGTCCTTTGAGATGTTGACTCTGATATAGATAAAGCTACCTACTTTTTCTAAGTTTTCAACTGTCAGGTAGGGTCGTGTTGCAATGTTCGATCTACTAGGATATTAGTATTTTTTGTGTTTATTAGAGCTATTTAATCTGATTTAAGTTCTGTATACGTGTTTTCACCTGCTACTATATATTTGCTCTTACCGTGGCATTTTTCAATAGGTAGTTCAGCAAAAACAGTGCTTCTCCAGTAACCAATGTATTTCTTAAAGGAAAGTGTTTTTCTTCAATGTTTCTTAACGATTGTATCTAATTCCGATGTAGATAAAATAATGATAAATGTTAAATGAAACATCAAATTTATTTTATTAATTCATGTATTGATATGTTTTTGTTTTAGATTTTGGATATATATCGTTGGGTATATCGATTAAGTAGTTCTTGTCCTAATTTGAAATATTTGTCACTTATGGGTAACCCAAGTATACCATTTTATACAAATGGAGGGTCAAATCTTGAGCAAATGAGGTACAGGTAAGTAAAATAATATATTTTCTCCTTTGTTAAAGAATACGAAATAATTACAAGACAACCTATTACCTAGATGTTTTTTCAATATAGCCTGTATATCTACTTCAACTCATTGAGACCACTGCTGCGCTCTGTACTGAGTTTAACTGAGTTTATGTGAACTATGTGTTTATATAAGATCTCTTTTCTTAAAGAAAAAAAATTCTAAGGCATTTACCTGCACTCAACCAGCGTATCTCTGAATGTAGGGTGACGTCCTTATATTCAGTATTTAATTCCTCCAAGAAAGAGATGAATTTTCGGTGCTGCTGAGCTCTGTTTCCTCCTCTTACGCTGTTTACTATCTGTACTACAGTTTTCATAGTATCGTAGATTTTACTTATCTTTCCGCAGAGAGCCTCTTGATGGATAGTGCAATGAAACATAACACAGTTAACACCATTTCCCCCCAAAAAGTCCAGCCAATCCCGTTATGCGTCCCGTCATTGCTTTAACTCCGTCGGTGCAAGCGCAAGAGCACTTTTGAAAACCGCCTATATTTTTCACAGCGTCACTATCACCAACTGCTTCAAATATATTTATATCTTTGGTCCTGTCTTCCACGTGGTGAAGTTTTCGAAGTTCCTCAGTTACACAAACATCTTCACTGATACATCTAACAAACATTAGTAGCTGATTTTTGTCAGTAATATCAACAGATTCGTCCAGGACTAAGGAGTAGTACAAACAATCACGAACTGTGTCGACCATTTTTTAAATACATGAGTATGCAGCTCATCAACTCTTTAGATGCAGCTTGATGGGAAAGTGAATCGCATTCAACATTTTTGGCCATCTTTTCATCTCCAAAGGATCGCGCCATTTTAACGGCACACCGCTTGATCATTTCTCCATCTCTAAATGCTTTTTTACTTTTGACAACCTCTAAACATACTTCATATGATGCTGCTAAGCTTGATGATTAAACAGCTGTCGGTTCTGTAAATAGAGATTGTTGTTTATTCAATTTATATTTCATCATCATCATCATCCAGCCTCTATTTATCACGTCTACTGCTGGACATAGGCCTCCCTTAAACTCCTCCATTCCTCACGATTTTGTGCTCTTTGTTGCCAATTTTTAGTGATACGCCTGATGTCGTCGGCTCAACGTGTAGGTGGTCTTCCTCTACTGCGTTTGTCTGCTCTTGGCCTCCAATTTTGTAATTTTGCTCGTCCATCGTGAATCGTGCATTCTCGCTACATGGCCTGCCCAGTTCCATTTTAGTTCCGCTATGCGTTCCACAACATCAGTAATACTCGTCCTTCTTCGTAGATCTTCGTTTCTTATTCGGTCCCTCAACGTCACTCCCAGCATAGACCGTTCCATTCGTCTCTGTGCCACTCTCAGTTTCGAAGCCGTGGTCTTGGTTAAAGTCATAGTTTCCGCCCCATAGGTCATGACCGGTAATACGCCTTGGTCAAACACTTTTCTTTTGAGGCTGATTGGTATGTTGGCCCTAAGTGTGTCTCGCAGTTTTCCAAAGGCTGCCCATGTTAAAGTAATTCGTCTTTGGATCTCACATGTTTGGTTATCCCTGCTGATTCTTATTTCATGACCCAAATACGTATATTTCTCCACCAGTTCTACCACTTTGTCTTGAATAGTCAAATGGTTATTGGGGACCAAATTTGTCATAAACTTAGTTTTGGTCAAGTTCATTCTCAGGCCCACCTTCGAACATGCAAAATCCAATTCGTTTAACATATCTATAGCTTCTCCTAAATTATCTGTGATAAGGACAATGTCATCTGCGAAACGGAGATGGTTAAGCTTTTCGCCGTCTATCGTTACTCCTCTGTGGTCCCAATTGATCATCTTAAAGACATATTCTAATGCCTTTATTAATAATTTCGGCGACAATGTATCTCCTTGCCTTATTCCACGATTTATTTTTATTGGTCGGGTTTTATTGTCTATTTTAACAGTCATAGTGGCATTTTTGTAAATATTATAAATAAGCTCACTATACCTATGGTCAATCCTGCTGTCATTCATTGCTTCTATAAGGCTGTCTAATTTGATCGTGTCGAACGCTTTATGAAAATCTATGAAAGTGAGAACAAGAGGTTTGTTATATTCTATAGATTTTTCAATGAGTGTCTTTACTGTGTGGAGGTGATCATTGGTACCATAATTTAAGTGGAATCCTGCCTGCTCTCTCGGTTGGTAGAAATCTAATTTTTTCTCCAATCTTGATGTCACTACTAATTTATCTTTAAGTTCTTTTAAAAGAGTATTGCGAGCTTCACCTTAATATTTGTCGTATTTTGGCGCGACAAGCCAACCTCAGGCTGGACCTGATTGATATAATGTATAACAGGAATAAATAAAAAAAAATCACACTAATAGGCAACTTTTCATTAAATTCGCAACTATCTTTCGGTAAAACTTACTTGCATGAAAGAAAACACGTATAGATTTTGGCCCGAATTATTAATTCCCGATGGTTTCGGGAAACCCCGAAAAGATCGGGGAATTCTTTAACGCCGCCGCCGTTGCATGTAATAGCATCGGTCAGCGCCGGCTACACAAAATTTTGGTACTATTGTTTTTATTATACTAATAATGTATATTATACATAACAGGGAAAGGCCGCGCTATCTTCTTAATCTTCTTAATCTGCTTGCTTGGCGTTTGATTTTATTTTTTTGATATTTATATTTTTATATGGTTAATATAAGTTGATAGAAAAATTAAAAACACAATTTCTAAATAATAACATAAATGAAGATACTATAAAAAAATTAAGAAATATCACACAGGACAGCATTTTACACCCAAGTGGTTTGTTTATATTGCAATGAGTATATGCATTTTCTTATCTAAATATGTTGTATTTTTATTGAGGAAAAAGCTGTTTTGATTTTCTTATGACAATCAGTGAAAAAGAAAAACAAAAACAACCCGAATGTAGTCCGCTTGATGGAAAAAAGAGTTTTGGTTTTGTGTTGGTTTTGGCTTGGTTTCTCAAGTTCTAAAAACACAAACAAAATATAAATTCAATTGTCCGTTTAGTAAAAAACCGCCATAAAATACATAATAATATAGCGTCTGTTTTTATACCAAGAGTGCACTTTAAGAGTATACAAGGAAGGTCACATTAACGGCCTATTTTTACACCCGGTTTTTCCCAACGTAAAAGTATTTTATTTAGGCTGAGTCAACCTGGGGCATTCACATATTTTAAAAATATATAGATGTTTTTGAACCCTTCACCTCTGTTAAGGTGTGGATTTGGAAAATAAATAGTCGTACTTTACTACTATTATAAAAGGCTTTATTTCCTATAACATACATACTAATTAACTAACCTAACTTAAGCCACCATACTTCTTACTACTACCTACAACTACATGATACTCATTGACATTACTATTATTGTCTGTCATGTCAACCCATGACACTATGGGTGTGTTCCGCTTACTCTTACACCAATATATCTGTGTATACAATATAAATGTATTACATTCTCAACACGCCTCCTTACATTTACATTGTATTTACATTAATTCAAATTTAACATACTTCGAAATTTTTCAAATTTATCTTGGCCCAAGGACTTCGTAAAAATATCTGCAATATTATCATCAGAATCTACTTTAACCACATTTATAACATTTGCTTTAACATAATCATTTACATAATGATAATGAATTTCAACATGCTTAGAATTTTTTGTAAAATTGCCATAATTAGCTATACTAATTGTACCAGTGTTATCTTCATAAACATCAATTGGCTTTATTATTTCAATATCAAATATTTTCAACAATTCTTTTACAAATATCAATTCACTTACTGCTTCTGACAATGCTACATACTCTGCAAAAGTTGAAGCTTTTGTAACGCTTTTTTGTTTTCTAGATTTCCAATAAATTACATTACCAAACAATCTTATTACAAAACCAGTTGTAGACTTTCTATCTAAATGATCACCTGCCCAATCGGCATCCACATAACAATCAATAATACTTACTTTTTCATTTCTGTTATAAAACAATTTTAAATCTTTAGTTAAGCATAAATATTTCAAAATTCGTACAGCATATTTAAAGTGCGTTTCATTATAGCAATTTTGAAATCTACTCAGATAATTTACGCTGAAACTTATATCAGGCCTTGTTGCCGAACTTATGTATAATAGTGCACCAATTAAATTTTTATATTTAATATTTCTTTCACAATGATCAGATTTATCAATTTTTAAATTTACTTCCATAGGTGTATTATACAGTTTACCTTTTTCTAAATTATATTTTTTCCTTAATAATTCAATATATTTATTTTGATCCAATCTCATTTCATGTTTACTAGAATCATAATCAACAGTAATACCAAGATATTCTTTAATTTCACCAATATCTTTCATTTTAAATTTTTCTGATAATAAAATTTTAATCCTTTTAATTTCATTTAAATTTCTACCACAAATCAATAAATCATCGACATAAATTAATAAGTAAATAATATCATTTCCAATTTTATAAACGTACAAACAAGGATCAATATTACTTCTTTCAAAACCTAAATTTATCAAAAATGTATCTAGGCACTCATACCATGCCCTTGGACTTTCTTTTAAACCATATAAAGCTTTAACTAATTTACAAACTTTACTTGTTCCATCTTCATAACCCTTAGGTTGTTTAATATAAACTTCAGAAATTACTTTACCATTTAAAAAGGCTGTTTCAACATCCATTTGTTCAATTACTAGGCCCATTTGACAACAATATGACAATAAAATCTTTAATGTTTGCATTTTAGCCACAGGTGAATAAATATCATCAATTTCATCAGTTTGTTGAAAACCTCGTACAACCAATCTAGCTTTATAAGTATTATCAGACTTTTTAGTATAAACCCATTTAACATCCAGAATATTTTTGTTTGTATCATTTTTAACCAATTTCCAAGTTTTACTTTTATTTAAACTATCAATTTCTTTGTCCATAGCTGT